GGCAAGGGGACAGAACGCACGTAAAATGACGAATTCTTTTGGTTTTTAATTATTTAAATGAACTCGGGGGCACGGGACGCGAACGGGACCGGCCAAACGGGGCACGAATTTCTGTTTTTTTGGTCCCACACCTCCCAAGAAGAAGCTACGGGACCGGCCCCAGCTTCGGCTGAGGGCTGACAAGCTGCCGAGCCCAGGTCTGCGAATGCTTATCAGCCACGAAAGGAGAGCGTGGCCGAGGACGCATAGACTCGATCGCAAGATCCCAGAAAGGCACCTCCGCCTCTGGACAGGGTGGCCCGCCACAAGGACCCCAGGAATTGCGACTCGCCGCTTTCCTCCCGCTGTGATTCTGTGTGAGCTCTGTGTCTTGTTTGCCAACAATACACCTAAGCTGCCGAGCCCAAATCACTGTGAGGGTCGTTATTTCTTGTTGGTTTTCTAAAATCTCTCTCTCACCTCCCTGGGTGACCAGCGCGACCGCAATGCCGCGTGTCACAGCACACTGGCACGACAAGGGCGCGGACTGGCGCGGACTGGCACACACACCGGAGCCTTGAAAAAAGAAAAGGAGCTGGCTTCATCTCTGTTGTCGGGCTTCTCAGCCACAGCATACACTGCTGGGCCTTCCTCGACGCTCCCGCCCCTCCGCCCGCCGCTCCTCACGTCAAAGGCGGGGACTCGACGGTCGCAGCACTTTGCGCGCGAAAAAGCGATGCCACAGTCGCAGCACTTTACGCAGCCGCACGGGCGATGGGCGCCCACGCCGGCGCAGCTCTCCGTCCTCCACATGAGCTACGCCCTGGACAAGTTCCCATCGATGTCGACCCGCACCGACCTTGCAAACCGTCTCGGAGTGTCACCGCGCCAGGAGCCCGCGTCGCCTCGGCGCCAGCCCTGCTCCCTAATAGCACCCTGTGAGTCGCCTCTCCCTGCGGCGCATGCAGGTCCAGATTTGGCACCAGAACATGCGCCAGAAGGAGCGGAAGAGCGCAAAGGCGCTGCAGCCGCCCGGCGGCGCTGCGGCGCCCGCCTCCTCTGATATCAATGTGCTTGCGGCGGTGGCGCCGCCCTCGCCCGCGTCGTACGAGTCGAGCGACGAGCTTGGCGGCGAGCCTCCGCCGGAGGCGCGGCAGAAGC